CTAGGTAGCAGTTTTGCCGTTTTCGGAAGAGTACAACATTATAACAATCATTTTTATTGTCGACAATAAATATTAATGTTAGAGCATTGTTTCCACTGAAAATTTCACTGTAATTTTTTTTTCGGGCGCGGATACTTTCGGGGAGAAAAACTAGAAACGCGTGTGTGAAAGTAACTGATTTATTATGGAATGATACAAAACGTCAAAAGGATCAAATACAGTGTAGCCAGTAATCAAATTGGTTTTCTCTTATGCCAAGGTGGCTATATATCAAGGTGCTCATCCATTCCCAACACTCCTCCTGGATGAGTACCGCCCTAATCACTTCTTCAGTCCTACCTTCGTCAAGAACATATCCAGTTTGGCCGGACCGACTGGTTTAGTAAGAGCGTCGGCGGCCATCTCTTCACTTGGGCAATACACTAAATTTACGGTCTTCTGTTCGCACAACTCACGGATAAAATGTCTCTTCGTATCTATGTGCTTTACTCTGCCACTGCATCTTTCCGCTTTGGCGAAACTCAGACATCCCATGTTATCAATCGTCTCAGCCACATCGCTTCCTGGCAGGCCAACGACAACGCGTTATATTCGGCCTCCAAGGACGAAAGAGCAACCGAGTCCTGGCCCTTGCTGGTCCAACTGACAGGACCACCTCCGTAAAAGAATACGAAACCGGTGGTAGAACGCCGAGTACGCCTATCGCCGGCCCAATCCGAGTCTGAATATCCTACTAGGTTCCATCCGCCCTGTGACCCATAGCTTAGCTTGAAATCCTTGGTTCCGTTTAGGTATTGTAACACCCTCTTTGCCGCATTCCAATCGCTGTTGTTCGGCTGACTGACTTTGCGTCCCAACAGACCCACGCTCAGCGACAAATCTGGTCTAGCATTGACGGCCAGGTATAGTAGCGCGCCAATCAAGCTCCGGTACAACGTCGTGTCCTCGAACGGTTTGCTGCCTTCCTTACTAGCCACCGCCAGCAGCACACGTAGCGTCGCCTGTCGAGTAACCGGAGCGTATACTTCGGTGAAATCAATCCCAAACAGCTGAGTATATCCCTTAGCGACAATACGGGCCTTATGCTTGACTATGGTCCCCGTTTCATCCCGTTTTAGCTTAAAGACCCACTTCACTCCAATCACTTTCTTCCCATGGGGTACCTGCACCAACTCCCATGTCTTATTCGCATTGTGTGCCGCAATTTCCGCGTCCATGGCACTTTTCCAAGCAGGCACTAGTACTGCTTCTCTATAATCTTCGGGCTCTTCATCTACAGTCACTTGCCCCACTACAAAGTCATCGTAACGTCCTGGCAAAACTCCCCGATTGCGCCGATTCGCTCTGTTCAACACTGGTTGTTCTTCTGGAACCTCCGGTTCGAAGCCCAGGAAATCACTATTGTTCATTTCACTAGCATCATCGTACTCACACTGTTCCTGTTCGTCACGCACTTCTGGACGTCGTCCACGATCCTCGATTATCACTTCTTCTTCACAATCACTCACACTATCACCACTCTGCTCAACAGGAATCTCCGAAGGAACTGGCTCCTCCTCCGGCTGTTCTGAGCCATTTCCCAGCTCCAGAAAGCGCGCGTCACGGCTTATAGTGATGCGATTCGTTGTGAGGTCAAGAAAGCGATAGCCTTTGTGCTGACTTGAGTAGCCGACAAATACTAGCTTCTTAGCTTTCGGGTCGAATTTCTTTCGTTTTTGGTCGGGCACGTGCACATAGGCTTCGCACCCAAACACTTTAAGTTCAGCCAAATCCGGTACTTTTCCTGTCCAAAGCTCGTAAGGCGTTTTATCCACAACTCGCGATGGCAACCGATTCTGGACGAAGTTCGCCGTAAGCACGGCCTCACCCCAATAACATTTGGGCAGCCCTGCATCCAACAGCATACAGTTGGCCATCTCCTGCAGTGCGCGGTTCTTCCGTTCCGCTACACCATTCTGCTGTGGTGTATACGGAGTGGTATACCAACAATCAATACGAAACTAACGATTTTAGATTGGCTCACCACTTTAGTAGCCTATTGGTCCCAAGCAAACGATTAACGTACCCTATTCTAGTTGAAATTCTATTACTACACTATGTTTGTTTTGATTCGCTATGAAAGTTTGACAGATAACATCAGGGGTGTGTGGATTCATGCAGAACATGCAGGGGTGAGTGAAATAGCTTGGGACTGCTTGGGACCGTTGTTCTGGTACTGAGTGAGCCAAAAATAATGATGATTTTCTTCGGGACCCAGTGGTCTTAGAGTTACCTCTATGGGTATACTGCGAAACGATGCCCTCGGCTTTGTAAAACTGCTGTAAAGCCTCGCCGATATACTCGCCTCCTCCAGCGGACCTAATCACCTTAGGTTTCCGCCCGAACACGTTTTCGGTCCACCGAACGTATTCCCGAATCTTGTGCTCTGCCTCGCTCTTCGACGTAAGGAGAAACACCGCGCAGAAACGACTGTAGTCGTCGATCAGGGTAATAAAATATTTATTCCCATCCGGTGTCGCATTTTCCATTGGTCCGCACAAATCTGTGTGTATCAGATCCAATGGCTGCGTCGACCTGCGCTCACCTAACGAAGGAAAAGGTTTTCGTGCTAACTTACCTTTGATGCAGCACTCACAGACTATACGCTCTCCGCAGTCCTTGACCTCGAATCCGCTGGCCAGTCCTTTCGACGTGATGACATTCACCACGTTCACTTCGCGGTGACCAAATCGGCGGTGCCACGTATGTTGGCACAGATCCGTATGACAACCTTTCACAGCCATACACTGCTCACCAATCTTCAGCTTGTATTGGCAGCCAACCAGTTCACCCACTGCGACAACCTTATCGTCAGTCTTGGATTTCACAACCATTCACATTGAACACAACCGTGAATCCCTTTACGGCCAATTTCCGCACCGAAACCAGTCCTCCCTCCAAATTGGGGACATAGAGCACTCGCTCCAACGCAATCACAACGCGCTGGCCATTAGCATTCACACCGATAACGTTTCCACTACCGATACCGCATGACTTCGTTTTTGTACCGTCAGCCAAAGTAACATCAACAACAACACCGCTCTTGAATTCAACGAAAAACCCGCGATCATTTGTCATATGACAAGTACATCCGCTGTCGATTGTCCATGCTCCCGGAATAGCACCACCCGCAACAAAACACACGGCACCACAGAACGAATCTTCTGCTACCACTGGTTTCGATTGCTGTGCATTTTCCGCTTGCACCTTTTTAGCCTGCTGACCGGAACTCGACTTCTTGCTCGATTCATCCGAACTTTCCTTGTTCTTCAATGCGGCCAACTTGCGACAATTTCTCTTGTAATGGCCAGGTTGTTTACAAAAAAAACACTTCACGTTGTCACTGTTCACCACGTTAGCATCCGCTTTGTGGACTTTTTCTTCCTTAACACTGATTCCACTGGGACCCGCTCTTGGGCTCGCCCGCTTGTTACACTCATCGCGCAATCGAGCCACCACTAAGTCCATTGTTAAATCTTCGTGTGGCCGATTTTCCAGCGACGTTACAAAACTCGAGAAAGACGGAGGCAAACTGCGCAGCATCATTATCACCCGCAACTGCTCACTGATCTCAACACCGCTACTGTCAAGCCGATCAAACAAGTTTTCGATTTCTTCCAGGTGCTTTTCAACTTCGCCACCCTCACCGAGATTAATCGAACACAACTGCTGCAGGAGCATTGCCTGGGTGCCTATCGTTGCTTTCTCATGATAGGTTTTTAGGTTATTCCACATATCACGCGCGGTTTCGGCTTTCTTGATAAAACGCAGCTGGTTGTCATCAATAAACAACGAAATCGTCGCGCGAGCTTTCACATCGTTCTTCTTCCACTGCGCATAATGTTCATCCACTTCCTCCGGTTTCGCTGTACCAATCACGTCCCACAACTCTTCACGTTCAAGTAACGACTTCATCCGGAATTTCCAGGAAACATAATTTCCGCTACTCAGCTTCGCAAACGACACTCGCATGCTGTCCGCCATTTTGATTTTTCTCCGCACTAAAACTTTTCTCGGAAGACCAAACACTGCCTTCCGGTAAACCAGCTCTCGGCAAGAATCGCACAAATACTTCCTTGTTCACTTCCGGCAGCTGGGCCCATAACCTGTTGACCTGGACGCACCAACAGAGTCGCACGGAATCACCGGGAAACGAACAAAGGGAACACCAGAGAGCAGACAAAAGAAACCGCGGATACTTTCGGGGAGAAAAACTAGAAACGCGTGTGTGAAAGTAACTGATTTATTATGGAATGATACAAAACGTCAAAAGGATCAAATACAGTGTAGCCAGTAATCAAATTGGTTTTCTCTTATGCCAAGGTGGCTATATATCAAGGTGCTCATCCATTCCCAACATTTTCGACATCTTTTAGAACTTCATTCGAACTTCTTCCACGAGACCTATTTCTTCCTCTGGAAGTTTTGTCGGTACCATTAAGAGACTAATTCAAATATTTCCCATAGAGATTGCTAAAGTATGATTGTGTAAGTGATTTGTTTTCATCGGGAAAATTTTCCGCAATGAAGTTTTTTTCCCGATGAAAACATTTTGCGTATACGTATACGTGACGCACACTACGTACGATAAACGTCAGCAATCTCTATAAATTTCTTCCAACTTACATGGAAAGTACATCCTTCGATTTAAGTCCAAAAGTTTGAAAAAATTAAAATTAATTAAAATAATGAATACCGATTTTTAATCATTTGATACCGATAATCATGAAAACAATCTGTCAATGCTGGTGACAACGCTGAGCTGGATAGTCATTATTGAGTATGTTGGGGTTACCGTGTATAGAACAAAAACAAACATAAATTTATTTAAAACGCAAAACAGGCTCGTCGTGCTCCGTGTTTCTGTTTCCGGTGCTTCTTTCGTATTTATTTAAAATCCCGTGATTTCACCGAAAAACCTTTTCACTATTACCTACATGTAAAATAAAACACCTCCCATTATGAACAATGTGCTAGTGACCAGCAAAGCAAATTTATTTCGTCTGCTGCAATGCGAAATCTGTCTCGAAAGCGTCCAGGACGCCCGGCTCTGTCCGCAATGCTCGCGATTCTTTTGCGACAAGTGCATCCACGGCTGGATAACTACCAGATCCAGCAGCTGTCCCAGCTGCCGTGCGGTCCTACGCTACGATACTCTGGTTAAGGGGTGTTCGATCAACGAGATGCAGGAATCGATCACGCTACTGGTTTCCTCCCTGGAAAAACACTACCCGGAAGCTGCCACGGCCAACAACTATTGCGAAAGACACGAGAAACTGCAGGTGAATCTGTTCTGCTACTCGTGCGAGATGAACGTTTGTGCCAATTGTTGGTTCTCGGAGGACCACGCTGATCACAAGGAACGGGTCGTACCACTTGGTAAGTGATGCGATACAGAATAGAAAGTACTGCGAAAATGGTTTTAATTGTGAACTTGTGGTTCATCTCAAACAGATGAAGCTTACGAGCACTACCGGCAGAACATGAGAATGGCCCTTGCCTGGGTTGACGGACGGATGCAGCTCATCGATCAAGGGCTGAGCAAGGTGACCAAAAATCAGCTACAACTTAGTCGTGAACGGGAGAATATCGAGAAACTACGTAAAAAGTCGGTGGCCCTGGTTGCCGGTGAAGCAAGGTGAGACTTCTTTCCGTCAGCAATATGAAAGGTAATTCAACTTATTTCCCTAGCCCTGCAACGCTCATCAACATTGTGAATATCGAAAGAAGAATAACGGAACTGCGTTCAACACAGTATCAACCGGAAACGGAGACAATCAGAATTGAACATCGCAGGTAACGTTCTTTATAATATATCCCATCGAATCCATAATAGTCAGGAAGGTTGCATTTTTCACAGGAACTTCATGCTGGAGTCAACTGTACTGATCTTTCGCCGGACAGAGTTTCACAAAACGATTCAGGGGAAAGATTCGTACGAATCGAACGCCAAAGGTCCCCATGGATTTGTATGGAAGTGCACGATCACAACCGTAGATCCCGAAGGCGAAGGCGATGATGGTGATGCCGAGGATGATGACATACTCTCCTGTCTTACCTTGATCGAGGGGAAACCAAGCGAGTACAGCGTAACATTTGAGAACGAACCGGAACGGGTGCAACGGTTCGAGCTGAATAAACCCGTACGGATCGGTCAGTTTGATCCCGCCAGGCACGTCGACAATGATACGCAGCAAGTGACCGTCCGAATTCGCCAGACCTACGCTGACAGAATCCAACAGTTGCAGGCTCATATCGCTCGGTTGGAGCAGGAATGCGCCGACCAGAAGTCCTACAATAAACCATTGTTGTCCGATTGCGAGAAGAGCATGGAACCCTCCGCCAGTTAGATAGTTAGACTATCAGATGCTGATAGTTTGGGCACATGCTTCATTATTATCTATTATTGTCCTTTTGGATGAAGATAATTACGTTTGTTTTGTTTTTTCAATACAATAATTCTAAATTGCTTTAGAAAGGTAAATATTTCACTTTTCAAAAATTCGAGCGAATAAACAACTCGGCCCAATGCTCTAATGGCGTTTGGTTTTTTTATCTGTCGCTATTTACACAGTTGTCCCAACTCACAAGTAAATAGTTTTGTTGCTTGTCTTTATTAAAGACATGTTCAGCCAGTGGTTGATTCAAAGTAAAAACGAAGTCCACATGGGACTGTTCTGCGAATAGCAGCAGTTAATACCCAACATGTTCAGCAGAGTTCGAAACATCTGAAACGTGAATCTGATTCTACAGCGCCACCTAATGTCCACATTCAGCAGTGGAGTGTAGCATTTCCCTGCATGAGGTCTCAGACACGCTCCCTTATTCTGCGAGTCATGTGACTCTTCGTGCAAATCAAATGGGTGAGTCACCTCACACGAGGTGACAGAGAGTCACGCCGGAAGCGTGGGAAGATCACCTTTTCGTGGTACGTTACGGGATGTAAGATCTGCCGCCGATTCCTAGTCCTGACTACTTCAAACTAGTGGAACTAGATTTTTCATTACTCAAAGGAACACATCTTAGTCCTTGTTAATAGTGATAAGTCCTTGGGTTGCCTGGACCGAGGAGGATCTTTAAACAAGGAAAAACTGAGTTTGTTAGTCTTCATCTATGCGATTCCAAATCTTCTATTCATTATTCCTTAGTTTGAAGTGGTTAAGACTAGGGGATGCATGGTCATAACCGGTGTCATTCCCATAAACTTCCAGCTGAAGTCCTTCTTGTTTCTTCAGGAAAATTTATCAGACTTCCTTCGAAAGTTGTTCGGACTTCTCTCGGTAGTTTCTTTAAACTTTTTTTTTAAATTTGCCTAATTGCTCTGGAAGATTCTCCACATTTATCTCCGAAGCTTCAAACATTCTCTAGAATTAGTTCTGATCTCGGTGCTGATATAGTTCAGGGTGTAGAATCGTCCGATGCCTCTTGGTTCGTTCTGCTTCAACCAGCTACCGCCGTCTACCTCCAGTGATATTCGTATCGCAACTAACTCGATACCGCTTGTGATCTGGGACCTTGTAGTAGTAGTAAAATTATGTTTATTTCTGTTGATTATGGTAGTACATTGATTTATCATTTTAATTGATTAGCCTACTTGGCTCTTCATCTTTGTTTAATTTGATATTCTAATTTAATATTTGCGTTTTTCAACTAGTTTACAGAATATCCCTTTGGGGATGTGTTTTATTTGAATTGAAAAAAAGTGATAACCTACCTAACTACGAGTATAACTTAACCTAACGTATGATCTGATGATTTGATCTCAGATAGGTGTCTCTGAACCTTTCCAGGATGAATACTCTCCGTTCTTCTAATGTCTGAATTCCAGCCAGGAGGTGGATCTCAGAATTTCTAGTCCGCGGGGGACTGTTTAGGACCATCCTAAGGATCTTGTTCTGGATCCTTTGGAGTTTAAGGTGATGGCATTTTGCGCAACTCTCCCAGATTGGCATACCGTACTCGATTACAAGAAGGATGATTTGTTTGTAGACAGCAAGCTTATTTTTCAGGGACAGGGTTGACTTCCTGTTGATAAGTGGAAACAACGATCTTATCAAGATGTTGCACTTGGTTTTTGTTTTGTCAACGTGCTCCCTGAAAAGAAGCTTGCTGTCTAGTGTTAGCCCGAAGTACACGACCTCTTTGGACCATTCCACCACTGTGCAGATCTTGTTATTATCCGACGGAACAAGTCTAGGAGATTTAGAGTGTGGAAAGATAATGACCTGGGTCTTTGCCGCGTTGATACGGATCTTCCAGCTGTTGAAATATTCAGACAGAACGTCCAGGCCTCTCTGAAGTTTGGCAGTCAGAGCTCCGTGTGAGACCTTGTCATCCTCTCGTTCCTATAGTTCTCCAATACCAATGAGATACAGAGAGAGGTGAAGCAGATCGTGAAATATGGTTGTATTAGTAAACCAAAAAATCAACGTAAACGCAATTAGTGACGTCACTAATTGCTTGTATCGTACAGGCACAGACAAACAGACATAACACTCGCAAATTGTTCATCGAACAAGCATTTAACGGACAATTTAAAAGTATCGTAGTTGGTAGTACCGCCACCTGTGGCGCGCATAGTCAATCCCCTTGCGTTTGACGTTTACACACTACCGCCATCTTTTCAGCGTAGTGCCCACCACAGTATACTCAACAGATGGCGGTAACGTTTCAGCGACGATGTTTTATAGTGAGAAATATTCAATGTGTTATGTCTGTTTGTCTGTGGTACAGGGGTTTCACTCACACAACTTAACCGATTGCTTCACCTCGGTAATCCAGCTCATTGCTCCAATACTATCAGACGTATACAACTAGTTTCGTATTGATTGTTGGTTCTATCTCTTTCACTCTACTCAAAACTGAAATGCATAAAAAAATGACAAAATGATACACTCTTTGCACACTGTCAAAGAAACATTGTACACAAAATCAACTTTGTGCAAAACCAAAACAAAAATACTATCAACCAATACGAAACTAACGATTTAAAATTGGCTCACTACTTGACTAGCCTATTGGTCCCAAGCAAATCGATTAACGTACCCCATTCGAGTCGAAGTTCTAGTACTACACTATGTTTGTTTTGATTCGCTATGAAAGTTTGACAGATAAAATGAGGGGTTTGTGGATTTTCCTATGTTTCGAGGGGTGCATCGATTAGCTTGGGACCGAAGATAGTACCAGAGCTGAGCCAAAAAGTTGAGCTCGTTTCTTCGTGACCTTCTGTCTTAGAGTTACCTCTATGGTACTACCATAGAGGTAACTCTAAGACCAGAAGGTCCCGAAATAACGTGCTCAAGTTTTTGGCTCAGCTCTGGTACTATCTTCGGTCCCAAGCTAATCGATTCACCCCTCGAAACATAGGAAAAACCAATAACCCCTCATTTTATCTATCAAACTTTCATAGCGAATCAAAACAAACATTGCTTACACGGCGAATGAGAACGACTCAAATTTGAGTTTAGTTCACTCATAATCGCCAAAAGTGCAGGAACTCAGCGATTAGTTAATTTTCCCCATGTTTTCCCAGGTTTTTCCAGGGAAAAATTCCCGAATTTGAGGAAAGTAAAGATTGGATTCACTCCGAGACTGAATAAAATTTTCGTCAATTTCCTCATTTTCCGGCTGATTTTTTAGGTTTTCCACAGGAAACCATGAGACAAATTTTACTCATCGCTGAGTTCCTGCACTTTTGGCGATTATGAGTGAACTAAACTCAAATTTCTCATTCGCCGTGTAGTACTAGAATTTCGACTAGAATGGGATACGTTAATCGTTTGCTTGGGACCAATAGGCTAGTCAAGTAGTGAGCCAATTTAAAATCGTTAGTTTCGTCAACAATCAATACGAAACTAACGATTTTAAATTGGCTCACCACTTTAGTAGCCTATTGGTCCCAAGCAAACGATTAACGTACCCTATTGTAGTCGAAATTCTAGTACTACGCAATGTTTGTTTTGATTCGCTATGAAAGTTTGACAGATAAAATGAGGGGTTATTGGTTTTTCCTATGTTTCGAGGGGTGATTCGACAAGCTTGGGACCGAAGATAGTACCAGAGCTGAGCCAAAAAGTTGAGCACGTTTCTTCGGGACCTACTGGTCTTAGAGTTACCTCTATGGTTTCGTATTGTTTGTTGGTACTACCATAGAGGTAACTCTAAGATCAGTAGGTCCCAAAGAAACGTGCTCAACTTTTTGGCTCAGCTCTGGTACTCCCCCTTATTCTGCGAGTCACGTGACTCTCTCTCACCGGTGAGGTGACAATTGTCACCTCGTGTGAGGTGACTCTCCATGCAAATCAAATGGAGAGTCACCTCACACGAGGTGACTATTGTCACCTCACCGGTGAGAGAGAGTCACGTGACTCGCAGAATAGGGGGGAATGCATTAGGTCCTAAGTAACATTGATCGATTATCTTAATCGCCTTCCGCTTTCGGATATTAATGGATAATAGCTTGTTGGATCGATCTGTTGGCAGAAATTAGCTGGGAATGTGCATGGCCGTGAGCATGAAAAGAGAAAGTAGACGAAGAGAATTTGTCAACGTTACTTAGGATATAATGCATTGTTCAGCTTAAAATGTCCAACAAAATAATTAATAATTTTAGGCAAAAATCGTTAAGGCTGCTAAGTTACTGGAGCACCTCGATTAGAATTAAATGTAATTTAACTTGAATTTAGTACAAATAAACAGAAATGCTTATAACCTCTTATTCTGAACATGTTTTGATCATAATTTAAAACTAGGGCAGATTCTCGTCAGTTGTTATAATATAAAATATAGCTCTTGTCATTAGATTTTTTGTTAAAATACCAAGATATTCTGGAAACTATCTACTACAAGTTGGATACGAATTCAACAGTTATCTTCAACCAGATGAAGGCCCAAGTCTCTTGTCCCAATCGGCGAGGTACGTTTTGAATGCCACGTGATCAGCATTTTCCTTCTCCAGCCGAGTAATATAGTCATGCAACTGTTGAAACCTGTCACCGTAGGATTGACGAATTTGTACGGTCAACTTTTGCGAATCGTTGACCACGTTTTCCATGACTGGCTTGTACACCCCAATCTTCACGGCACTGTCCAACTCAAATCGGCAAACCTTCTCCGGTTTGCCATCGAACAGTACGGAGTAATCACTGGGTTTTCCTGCCATTAAACTAAGGTAGAAGTACATGCCGTTATCTTCGTTTGTGATCTCGCATTTCCATTCGAAGCCGTACGGAGCTTGAAGGTTTGTCTTGAATGATCCATGGTTCTTTATAGTGCTATCGAACTCTGTCATACGGAAATCCAGTACGGTTGCTTCCGACATGAATTCTCTGAAAAAATGAAGGTGGTAAAATGTATAGTATGATTAGAAATCGCTATCATAAAATCACTATACCGGCGACGATCTAGTCGAACTGATTCTGTTTCATCCTGATGGTTCAAACGCAGCTCCGCCATTGCTCGTTCGGTTGTAATGATTTGCATTACAGATGCAGGACTACGAGACATCAACGAAAGCTCAATGGTAATGTTGTCATTATAAACATTTAAACGGATTACTCACTTTGCCTTGCCCGTAATCAGCTCCTCCGATTCTCCACGTAGTTTTTCGATTAATTCTTTCTCTTGGCTCAGACGACTTAGATTTTCCTGCACCTGTTTCAGTACATGATCGACCACTTCCTTTCGTCCGTTGATCCAGGTTAGAGTCGCCGTCATATTTTGCATGTAGTGTTCGAAAGCTTCCTCTGTTGAAATGCTTAGTGGATTTTCGACCTTTATTTAGGAAATATTGAGACTCACCTAGAGGTACGGCCCGTTCCTTGTGCTCAGCATGTTCCTCTGAGAACCAACATTTAACGCAAATATTCATTTCGCATGGGTAGCAAAATAGAGAAAGATGCTGGTTCTCATGTTCACCGCAAAGGTTGTCCTTGTTGTCCATGCTTGAGAACAGATGCCTGATCGATTCCTGCAATTGATTGATCGAATAGCCCTTTACCAGTGCAGAATAACTCACGGTTGTTCGACAGTTTGGACAAGTGCTGGATTTGTTCGTTAGCCAATTGTAAATGCACCCTTCGCAAAATAACCGTGAACAGGATGGACAGAGTCGAGCCTCATGAACGCCGTCGAGGCAGATTACACACTGCAAATGCTGTAGCACTTCCGACTTCCTGGCATCGATCACTTCGGCTTCAGTCATAGTGCCCTCCGCTTTTAGTTGGAAGTTGGAACCGGCGATATCCAAAACCTAAGAGCTTCAAAATCAACACGAACCCAAAAAAGTACCTACCAGCTGAAAGAGCGCGTGTGTGGAAAATTGCAGTGGAAAGATAAAAATCTGCACAGGCAGCAATTTTGCGCCTCGCAAGGAAGGCCACACGGCGAATGAGAACGACTCAAATTTGAGTTTAGTTCACTCATAATCGCCAAACGTGCAGGAACACAGCGATGAGTAAAATTTGTCTCATGGTTTCCTGTGGAAAACCTAAAAAATCTGCCGGAAAATGAGGAAATTGACGAAAATTTTATTCAGTCTCAGAGTAGTACCAATAGACTGAGTGAATCCAATCTTTACTTTTCTCAAATTCGGGAATTTTTCCCTGGAAAATCCTGGAAAAACCTGGGAAAACATTAGGCAAATTTACTCATCGCTGAGTTCCTGCACTTTTGGCGATTATGAGTGAACTAAACTTAAATTTGGGTTATTTTCATTTGCCGTGGCACCCAGCAAGTGTACACGGTTAGAAAAAAGTAACCAAAATTAAGTTCTTTTCACTCATCTCGGCACTATAGTGCAGGAACCCATAAGTAGAACCAAAACATTCTAGTACATTTGGTGAAAATGCTAGTTCAATCTAGTAGTAGCATAGAGGTAACTCTAAGACCACTGGGTCCCGAAGAAAATCATTATTATTTTTGGCTCACTCAGTACCAGAACAACGGTCCCAAGCAGTCCCAAGCTATTTCACTCACCCCTGCATGTTCTGCATGAATCCACACACCCCTGATGTTATCTGTCAAACTATCATAGCGAATCAAAACAAACATAGTGTAGTAATAGAATTTCAACTAGAATAGGGTACGTTAATCGTTTGCTTGGGACCAATATTATCGTTTCAGTTGAAAACCGGAAAATCCCACACGCACCAATTGAATTTACTCTCGTTCTGTACGTTAAACATAACGTCGGACATAGTGCGCTGTATTCGCACAATGATGCGCTATTCAGCGCGGTATGTCTGACGTTATGTTTAACGTACAGAACGAGGGTAAAATCGAATGTCGCGTGTGGGTTTTCCGGCGTCCAACTTGAACAACAATAGGCTACTAAAGTGGTGAGCCAATTTAAAATCGTTAGTTTCGTATTGATTGTTGGTAGTAGTGTTGCCATGTGGTACAATCCAGTAGTAGTGGTGTTGCCATGTGGTACACTGAAAAATTGCAATAGCAGGTTAGTCATCAAAGTTTTCGAGCCGCTCCGTCTGTCACTTCGTTTGTGGGGTAAACTATCCCACATATGTTTTGGATGATACCCCGAACACGTCGTTAAGCTTCCTTTTATGGTTATTTTTATTAGGGAAGGAGTTGCAGGGAGATCTATCATTTTCAGCGTTATGTTATGGTTGAGGATGTGGTAGCCAGAAAATGTATTTTTTCGGTTGAAGTTTTGACAGCTCGATCAACATGACGGAACACTTTCTGACACCCAAAAGCACACATGAAGCACAATAAACACAGACTCAAGGTGGCAGAGTGACTTACCCAGATTTTTCCTAAAGATGTGGCCAAATTCAAATACTCATCATTCATAAACGAACGATAACCTCGACAATAACCCAAATGATAGAACTATTCCAAAATTGGTTTTATCACAAACGAAGTGACAGACGGAGCGGCTCGAAAACTTTGGTGACTAACCTGCTATTGCAATTTTTCAGTGTACCACGTGGCAACACCACTACTACTGGATTGTACCACATGGCAACACTACTATTAGATTGAACTAGCATTTTCACCAAATGTACTAGAATGTTTTGGTTCTATCTCATTCACTCTACTCAAAACTGAAATGCATAAAAAACTCGATAAAAAATGACAAAACGATACGCACTCTTTGCACACTGTCAAAGAATCATTGTACACAAAATCAACTTTGTTGAAATCTGTTTGGAGTAAATCGGTAACGCAGTGTGCTGATCACCTCCTTGGAGACCGAATGTCACCCCTAGCAACCTAAGTTTTCTTAAATAAACAACGGTGAAAAACTTTTCATTCCTGTTCAAGACTCCACTCAAGCTAGTCGTTAAATAAAATCCATTCTACTTTTAAACTTTGCTGTTCCGGTTCTTTCTAACTATCAAGAGGTTATGGGCGACTCACGCAAGGATTTGGTCCACGGGATCCCGCAGTTCTCGGGCACCGGTTTCGACAATTGGCAATTTCGAGTGGAGAAGTATCTGAAGTCCGTGAAGCTGTTGGATATCATCAAGAAGGATCCTCCGATGGAAGCGGCCGAGCTCACGAAGTTCCAGGAAGATGACGGTAAGGCGGCGTTCCTGCTGACGTCATTTGTTCATGACGATTTGCTGCATTTGGTGCGGGACAAGGAGACGTCCAAGGAGATGTGGATGAGCCTTGAATCCGCCTACGCCAAGAAGTCCGTCTCGTCGCAGACATTCGTCAGGAAGCAACTTGCGAAGCTACGAATGATGGAAGGTTCGTCTGTGAAAGATCACCTGAAAACCTTCGAAGAGCTGATCCGACAACTGAAGCTGGCCGGAGCGAAGCTTGAAGAGAACGATATTGTGTCCCAGCTGTTTGCTACCCTTCCCGAGTCGTTCGATCCGTTGGTTACGGCACTGGAAAATCTAGGTGAGGAAAACCTAAAACTGGATGTTGTTCGCGAGCGCCTTCTTGCCGAGGAGCTCAAGAAAACCGACCGGGCAGCGGATTCCTGCCAAGAGAAACCTGCAGCATTCCAAGGATCGAAGCAGAAGCATGGTAAGTTCACCGGAAAGTGTAACCGTTGCCAGAAGAAGGGGCACAAGGCCAAGGACTGTCGTGTGAAGTTGAAGACAGATGGGCGCGCTGAAGCTAACGCTGCTGCTGGAGGTAAGGCGGTGGCTTTTATGACCGGGAGATGCTCCCAAACAAAGGACGAGGGAGCAGTTTCCTTTAAGCTGGATTCCGGAGCCTCGGACCACCTTGTGAATGTGAAGCACTGTTTCGCCGACCTCACGAAGCTGAAGCACCCTGTCGTCATAAACGTGGCGAAGGATGATCAATCCCTGATTTCCCGGCACAGTGGCACGATCAACGGCGTCAACAAGGAAGGTAACTATATCAGCTTGAAGAACGTCCTCTTCGTACCAGATCCTCGAGCGAACTTGCTATCTGTGAAGAAGATGACAAAAGCGGATCTTGATGTCACATTCACGAAAAAGGAAGCGATCATGAAGCAAGGTCGTGACCTGATTGCGAGATGTCCCATGCGGGGCGATTTTTACGAGCTCGATCTCCGTGTCGATACGGTGGCGGCCAACATGTGTGGAGCTGTGACTGGTAACCTGTGGCATCGTCGACTGGCTCATTTGGGGAGCAAGAGTTTGCAGACACTCGCGAAGCATGGCATGGTAACAGGTATTCCCGAGAAACCAGATAAATTGGATTTTTGTGATGTTTGTGTTCTCGGAAAGCAGTGCCGAGAACCATTCACGGGTACTAGAGTCCGTGCTACAAGACCTCTAGAACGAGTGCACTCCGATGTGTGCGGTCCAATTACACCAGCGGCTTGGGATGATTCTCGGTACTTCGTCACCTTTATTGATAATTACACGCACTTTGCAGTAGTATATCCCATCAAGAAGAAGTCCGAGGTGTTCCAGAAGTTTCGAGAGTACGAGGCCATGGCGAGTGCCGCTCTGGGACATTCGATTTCGAAGCTGACTGTCGACCAAGGGCGCGAGTATTGCTCCAATGACCAGCGTGATTGGTACGTTTCCAAGGGGATCCAAGTCGAGCCAACCGCAGCGTACACACCACAGCAGAATGGAGTGTCCGAACGGTTCAATCGGACAATCGTCGAAAAGGTGCGTGCGATGCTGATTGAAGCCCAAACTCCGAAGAATCTGTGGAATGAAGCAGTTCTAGCGGCGGTATACCTGACGAACAGAAGTCCAACCACCGCGGTATCTGATTGGAAGACTCCTGCGGAAATGTGGACTGGTCACAAGCCGGACGTTAGTAAACTACGTGTGTTTGGCTGTAAAGCATTTGCTTGGGTGTCCACGGCACAGAGGAAGAAACTGGATCCGAAAAGCAAGCCTGCTGTGATGATCGGCTATGCGCCGAACGCCTACCGCCTGTGGAACAAAGAGAAGAAGCAGTTATTCCTAGCCAGAGATGTCAAGTTCGATGAAAACAGTTTTCCGTTTGCCACCCAGATCCGTGACGAAACTCCTTTGGTTGTTGCTCCGTACGAGTTCGAGGATCAAGATGAGGAAGATGTGCAAACCCCTGAACAGTCCGTTCAACCCGATGAGCCGCTGGTGGCTCAACATGACGACATCCTGACTGATGATGAAGAAGGCGAGGTTGAAGACGACGGTGTTGAAGAAACCGGAGCGCTCCCTTCGCAACTAGACCGTGGTTCAAACCTCGAAATGGAAACCCCGAGGCGCAGCGAACGGGAGCGCAGACTCCCCGGTAAGTTGAAAGAATTTCTGGTTGGAAAAGTTTTCACTGCCGCGCAATCCCATTCTGCAGATGTTCCCCATAACGTTTCCGATGTACTATTTGACGGTTCCGTTGGACGAGATGAGGCCGAGCGTTCGATCTTCGATGTCCCGGAGGCGTACAAGGAGATCGCTGGACGAGCCGACGAAGCTCTTTGGCAGCAAGCGGTCCGTGAGGAACTGCAGTCGCTAGCGGACAACCATGCTTGGCGATTGGTGAGATGCCCTGCTGGTGTGGTTCCGCTCAAATCGAAATGGGTCTTCCGAATCAAGCCGAACGAGCATGGCGAACCGATCCGTTACAAGGCGCGCTTGGTGGCGAAGGGATTCCAACAGAAGCCCGGAGTCGACTACAACGAAACATATTCCCCCGTAGCAAAGTTAGCCACGATACGAACCGTTCTTGCTGTAGCAACCCACCGAAGGATGCACGTTCACCAACTCGATGTGAAGACCGCATTCCT